CGGGAATGTAACAAAACATTTGCAGCCGTTTTATGGAGGCACTGTATTATAGTGGGAGGGCCTGTGGGAGCTTAGAATGTGGACCATCTATCTAAGACTGCTCTGGAAGGAGGCTTCCTGGAAAAAAAGTTCCGGGTAGCCAGGGGAGGGGCTCCAGGGGGAGAACAGCCCACACAACAGCAGAGGTCACCAGCACCCCACGGAAGCAAGAAGCCATGGCAGGAGAGCAGCCTCGAAAGAGAGCCAGGTTCAGACCCTACAGGCCTGGTCTGCCACCCAAATGGGGCAAGACTTAAAAGGGCCCAGGTAGGATATACGTGGGGCCATCTCCCTGCCCAGTGCTCAGAGAATGAGGGTCAGGAGCCAGAGACAGTCATAAAGGTAGTCATGGTGGTCAGTGAACCCATGGGCATATCTGAAAACCCCAGCAGTGTGTATGGAAAGAAGAGAAGATCAAAGTCTCAAGGGATACTAACATTTAAGGTACCAGGCGATAAAGAGGAGCCAGACAAACTTTTATCCTGGAACCCAGGTTTGAGGGGAATGGCATGGAGGAGAAGGGGGTGGGGGGATGAGCAGGTCAGTGTTGGGATTAGCTGAGAGCATTTGACTGAGTGAAGCCAGTGAGTGTCATCAGGTAGCTATGAATTGAAGAGGCTATGTGGGTGGGGCCCAAGAGCCCAGCTGCTTCTAATGGATTGAGGGGTCTCCCTTGTTTATCAATTCCTCGGTGATAGTAATGTTACATGGAATTCATTAAATGGTGGGGTTTTGTACTCAGTGTGCTAGCTCCATTAGCTTCTCTGCACATACCCTGATGTTCTGTCATTGCCCGATCTTCCCTGTCCACATTCCAAATACCATCTATCATCAGTACAGCATACGGTGTTCTTCCATGAACCTGGTTCAATTATTCATCTTCAGCTTTCATTTCTCCTAACTATTGCTGACAATAAAAAACACATGTGATTAAAAGTATATTTTCCTGTGTTTCAAAACACTTCAAAGCAAAACACAAGATCTTTTTATCATGATAGGGCTTAGGGTAAAAGGATATAATTGCACTAGATTTCTGCAGCTGTTATTCTACTGCACAAATACAAAACAGCATTTCACACAGCCGAGTTTAGAATGTAAATCAAAAAGAATTTGATCTTGTACCTTCACAGCAGGTATCCAGACTTTGTGATTTGCCTGCCTTTTCTCCCTTCTTTTTTCTGCCCCCGGTGAATTGCTTCCCAGTGGCTGTTTGTGATGCTGCCTCTCCACCTGGAGTTAGACTCTTCTAATTGGCCACCTCTTTGCACCTGCCTTCACCAGCTTGTGGCCACTTCTGGCCTCACGTTTCCCAGCGGGTGTGGGGCTGGGGAGGGGGGGCAGTGAAGTGCTCCTGGGCTTCCTAATGATTGTTCCTTAAGTAACTGGAAACCATCTGTGATGGGCTGCTTGTTGCCTCTTACTCATGTGGAGGATTTATTTTGGTCTGAGAGACTCAGATCAGAGTATAATAGCAGTATTTTTAGGTTTGTCCCACAGAAACAGGAGTAAACGTCTCTGTGCCAGAGATTTTTACTGCCAGATTCACCTTTTCAGTATTCCAGTCACTCGTTTTCTGCAGTAAAAATCTCATATACATGTGCTCCTGAGTGTCTCACCTCATGTCATTTTTCCCCTTGAATAGTTAAACAAGAAAAAGCAAAATAGTAATTGGACATTATGCCAGGTCTCTAGTTCTAGGACTTCTTTCAGTGCTTTCCTCAGTTCAGAGCCACACTTGGCTTTGTGCTGTCCTGTCTAATCCCCCACACACACACACCCATACACTCGCATGAAACTGCTTGACAGCACAGACCCAGCTCTGCTTTCTCCTTATTAACATCTGTCTCTCTCTAATAGCTCAACCCATTTAAGGAGTGAATAACTACCAGCCACAAATTTTTAGAGCTGCATAGTTCTCTTCTGTTCCATTAATGAACATTCTGGCCAGAGTTTGTCTTTTCAGCATGGCGATCATTTTATTTTTCTAATGCAATAAAATAAGTGGTCTGCTATAGTTTTGAGTTAATGAGGATTTGAAATGGATTTCAAGTATCCTTGTCAGGGTTTTTATTATGCAGGTGCAATCTCATGCAGTAAATTACCATAACTAAACAGCTGGAGAGCCATAAAGCTCTCCTGCCCCGGCATTGCTAAATTACTATTAATTAACAGCTACACATAAGGAAAGTGTCAGATGTTAAATATTTTTTATTAGTAATAACTTGGAAATTTGTGACCTTAAAAAGCTTAGACAATCTCTGAAGGGCCTCAACCAGGGTTAATTTTTATTTCATTACTTTTTCAGATTACAAGCATTTTGAATCCAGACTCTCTAGGCTGCTCTATTTATATGGATGTATAATGAAATGCCATTTAAATATTTTTCTTATATTGTTTGATTAAAATATAGGGTCCAGCTTGAGCATTCACTTCTGCATGTATCAACTGTGTTTTCTAAGTGCATACTTTCTTCTGGTACTGTGCTAGATATAGAGGCAAATAGTTGCACAGCCCTGGAAGAGAGACACTTGAGAGCACAATAGCAGTGCCCTAGAGGGTTCTGCAGGGGCCCCATGGAGGATTTGCGGACCTCTTGTTCATGGTGACTGAGAGCATGGAGCCTGGAACTAGAGACCTATGTTCAAATGTTGATGTCATCATTTACAAGATGCATGACTTGGACTAGTTAGTTTTCTTTGTTGTTTGCTTGTTGCCACTGGGGTTGATCCCAGGGGCACTATGTCATTGAGCTACATCCCCAGTCCTCTTTTGAGACAGGGTCTTGCTAAATTCCTAAGGCTGGCCTTGAACTGTGATCCTCATGCCCCAGCCTCTTGAGTCTCTGGGTTTGTAGGCATGTGCCACCACATCCAGCTCAAGTTAGTTATTTCTCTGTATCAGAATGGTGTTGGCTAAAAGAAGAGAGTATCCATAGTGTAGACCACCTATGTGGATGAAAAGGAGAAGATATTTCTAAAGTCCTTAGGAAATTTGCTTGGTAAGAACTAGATAAGTATTCTAAATAAATCAAGCAGAATAAATAACATGTATTTTGACTAAAGTAGGAAATAAGGAAAATTCTATTGTGAAAAATATAGAAACTGGCAGGCATCTTAACATTTGTTTTTAAACCTATGGGAACTTAAGTTAATAATTAGCTTGCATAGGAATGTCTATCCCTGGGTTCTTTCTCTAGGACCTTTACTCACTTCTGTTTCTTGTGGTTTTGGTTATTTTAACATTTTCAGGTAAGGAATCATTCTTTAACAGGCTCCAAAATAAAATGAATAGCCATTTATGGTATTTTAAGTTTCTTTCTCATTACTCAAAATAGGCAAGCAGAGGGTAAACTTGCTGAGATGTGGCTTTGGGAGTGCCTACATTGAGTGAAGGAGGGCATCAAACAAGGGAATAAGAACTGATTTTTCTTTTAAGTTATGATTTAGTGTGTAAAGGCATGTGACATGGGGGCTCTGGATCCATGAAGTGGCAGTTTCACTAGAGATGACAGTTGAAGCAGGGGAGGATTCATCAAGGCCAAAGGCAGAGAGTATCTTCACCTAAAACTCTTCATCTTTTAGAGAATGAGAATGAGAGGCACCATATATTTTCAGTAGGAGAATGGCCTAGATTAAAAGGAGTTAATTTCAAGGGGTTAATCTAGTAACAGGTGCCCAAAGACTGGCAGCAGGAGTCATGTTAGCAGGCAAGGCCGCCATGTTGACAGGGATAAAATAGGGAAGAGGCAGCCAGGATGGCTTCGAGCCTCTGGAGCTGGGACAAGCTGATGTCAATATTTGGGAGTCACAAAGAACGTTTACTATGTAGTTCTGCTTCATTGATTTATTCAGCAGATATTGATCAATCACAATCAGTGCAGAGCTCATGACTCCCCAACAGTGGATTTATCATGCTGCTGTTAGACATTGCAGTGAGGCTCATAACAAGGCCATTTCTGCTTGTACCCGAACAGAAGCCACTGCTTCTGGGCTTCTGGGCTTCTGGGCTTCTGGGCAGTGCCCTCTGATAGTGTGTTTTCATTGACCACTGCTGAGAGCCATAGCCAAGTAGGAATGACGCATAGCATTTTTGGTTGAAAGGTGACCCTGCTCAGGGATTAGGGTGGCTCCAGGTTTAGGGTGGATCCTGCTGGGAATAGGGTGTATCCTGCTGCCTCAGGCGCCCGCTCCTTGAGTTCCCATGGAGTTCTCTCGGGGTTCTGAGAGAACGCAGAGCCCGGTGGAGGGAGTGTATTTTTCCCAGAATGTGCGTGTAGAGTGGTGTAGAGTGTCAGTGAGAGTTCAGGAATAAAGAGTTGCTGTTTGAATCTACAAGGCTTTTTGGTGGCTCGGTTATTTTGTGCCCAGCCAGACTGCGGCAGACCACAGAATAGAACAGTGGAACTGATACCAACTTTTCTCTTCTACAGTTGAGCCAAATGTATTCATTTTAGTCTTGCGTGGCTTTCTACCTAAAAACACCTGCCCACCTCTAAAATTCAACAGCCTATTAAAGTCCATTTGCCTCCATCACTGCTCCTCTCTTTATGTTCACAACTTCCCCCTTTCTATTCCACAGCTTACTCCCCAGTTTGAAACAGAAACAAGTTTATTCCAAAAAAGAGATGGCAGTGCTTGAGAGGGCTGATGAGTTTCTACAGAGACCGTCAGTTCAGCACTTAGCACATTGCTGGCGCTCAAGAATGAAAATAGATTTTTAAATGGGCTAACTGGTTATTGAGGTGCCCTCCGAATCTCCAGTGTTGCACAAATGTCCAGCCATCATTTGAAAAGCTAAAGCAATCTACATTAGACTCCCCTGTTATATTTTCTGCCTAAAGGTGACTGTTAAACTCCTCCCCACTCTTCCAAAATTAAATGCCTGGAAGATAGACAGGATTACGATCTTCTTATGCCAGGCTACTGTTTTTAACCTTAGCACAGCACAGAAACATGCAGTACCTTTTCCTAAGTCCCAGAAAGTTCTTCACAGACTTGTTTTTGCAAAGTAATTGAGGCACAGAGGTTGCCTTCCACTCACTTCTTTGGGTAATGGAATGTCTTATTCCCTCCTTGTCTTGACTGTGGAATCTCTGGGCTGTTCTGCTCCTTGTCAGATTTATTGGCCACACTTAGTACAGGCCACACAAGTGGCCTCTGTCAACTCTGATAAAAGAGGGAATTCAACACCCTTTTATGAACATTCTCCTTAAACCTGTCAGGCTCTAAAATTAGGCAGGAGTTGCTGGTGCCAGACATTCTTCTCTCCAAAGGGCTTGCCCTCTGCAGTTACCTCCTTCTTTCATATAGGAGCACCTCCTAATACATGTGATAACGGGAGTCCTAGTGTTGCTTCAGAGATCACCAAATCAGAACTAGATCGGATGTATCCTTGAAGATTGGGGGAACTTAAATGCTGCACATATTTGTTTTAGAGAAATTGGTTTTATTGCTAAATATATTCATGTCAAGGAGTAATATTTCAGGGGAGATAGTTGGTCTTTCCATAACTACTGTCATTCACTTCAAAGAACAGTAATGTTCTCTTGATTCCTTGTTTACTTGCTCTTCTTTTTCCTTTAAGGGAAGATGTTTTTATTGCATTTCTTTGAAGCCAGTCACATGTTAAGACAGCTAGCATGTATTCAGTGATGGCCATCTTGTGCCCAAACACTCTTCCTGAGGTAAACCCCCTTATATTTGTAGATGCCTCTGGAAAGCCATGCTTGGCAGTAGAGATGGGTTATTTCTGAACTGTTAGACTATGGGCTTTACATAAACGTAAACTTTCTTTTCTTTAGTAGTCCTTTTAATTTAAAGAATTCAGCTCAAGGATGTGTGAGCCCTTATCAAATATTCATCAGAACGTGGTTTTAAACATGCAAAGTTAGAATCTATTTTAAATTTGATTACCATCTTAATCTGTTTTCTGATGCTACAACAAATTACCTGAGATTGGCTAATTAATGAGGAACAGTGGTTTATTATACTGGTCACTAATGTTTAGAAAGATTGAAAAGAAATAGTGGTTTATTTAGCTCAGTTCTGGAGACTGCAAGGCCCAAGAGCATGGCACCATGTCTGCTGAGGCCTTCGTGCTGCATCAGAACACGGCAAAGCTTCAGATGGCGAGAGAGGACAAGCATGGTTAGCTCAGGTCTCTCTTCCTCTCCTTTAAAACCACTAGTCCCATCATGCAGGCCCTACCCTAATGACCTTATCTAATTTCGGTTCCTTCCTGAGGCCTCAGATCCAAATATCATCAACATTTGAATTTGGGAATTAAGTCTCAATATGCACATGGGGGAGTGGGGCATGTGGTGGGGGCAGGCAGAGTGGAACATGGCAATTGCCAAGAAAGTTAGCTTTCTTTATGATGTTCTGAAGCATTTGTTTGTTTGTTTTATTTGTGGAGAGAGTTGCACCTGTTAAGTCTTTTAAGAAAAACTATTGAAATTTTTTGTAAGAATGGCATGGCAAGATATAATGGGATTTTTCTTGTTTTAATAATTCATCTTCAAGATGGCAGTGCTGACTCTGTAAAGGATCATCTTTCCAAGAAGACTGATTTTGCTAAAATAGTAATACCAATCCCTATATCTGGAATACAGCTTTGAAATGTTTAAATGATTCCCTTTTAAAGAGCATAATGAAAGTAGAAAAGCTTATAAATAAGACATGATACCTCTAATGGAATGTATTTGTCCCTTGGATTCCTTGACACGTGGTCCTTTTATTGAGCGGAAAAAAATCAAATGTGTTAAATCCATGCCAGATGTTGTAACGTTTACAGAATTTTGAATAGTTACACCTTGTATAGTTTAGCGGCAGAGCGCTTGCCTAGCATGCATGAGGCACTGGATTCAATCCTCAGCACTACATAAAAATAAACAAACAAAATAAAGGCATCTGACCATCTACAACTACAAAAAAATATATTTTTTTAAAGACACAATAATAGATTGAAGTAATAATAGATTGAAATAAATTACTTTGTGATACATTAGGGGAAAAACTCAGGACCAGGAACCTGAGAGACATTGGTAATAATTCGCCATAAGCCAGGAGTGTTACCTTAGTGGTTGTTTTTGTTTGTTTGTTTGTTTGTTTGTTTTGCTACTGGGGATTGAACTCAGGGGCACTCAATCATTGAGCCACATCCCCAGCCCTATTTTGTATTTTATTTAGAGACAGGGTCTCAGATGCTTAGCGCCTCGCTGTCACTGAGGCTGGCTTTGAACTCAAGATCCTCCTGCCTTAGCCTCCTGAGCTGCTGGGATTTCAGGTGTGCGCCACCACGCCCGGTGCCTTAGTAGTATTTATCTTCTTGGATTTTATTTTGTCATTTGAAAAATAAGAGTTGTTAACTGGCTTGGATGAAGTCCTAGAGTGACAACCTGTTCTTGTATCTAAAATATTTTAAAGTCTCAGGATTTGGGATTATCACCTTATTTCCTCAAAGCTGAGAAAGAATTGACACCAGCTTTCTTTCCTGGGTGACTCAGTCTTGTAACTGCTTAGAAAATACCATTTTCTGTCCTCTGTCAAGAAACAGCATGAGTTTCACTGAGGCTGTGCTTCCTTATAGCCTTGTGCCTAGTGTTCTCCAATTTAAATGTGGAATAACATTGCCACACTGCTATGAGTTATAACAAAAACTTAAAATTTTTTTGTTTTTCATTTGTATTGTTTTGTTGAAGAATTTTTAAGTACAGAAAACTTAACAGTATATATTTAACTGAGTTAAGTGACAAGCTCTATGGCCCTTGCCTTTTCCAGCCTGGCATTGCGAGTCACAGGTTTTGAACCCAGGATGTTGCCTCTGCCCAGTGAGAGTAGCTCTCATGATATAGGTCACTATAATTGGTCCTCATGGTTTTCACCAGCTTAACCAGAGCCCCTTCATCTTCCAAGTTCATCCTGGTGTGATGACAGTGGTGCTGGTCTTCTTAGGGACTAGATAGCCCATCCTGGCCTTCCCCTGGATGCTGCAGAAGCAGACAAGAAGACAAGCAGCTCAGCAGATCCACATTTTGCTGATGTCTACACATTGTACACATGTATTGAAATGTCACATTGTAATTAATAAATATGTGCAATTGTTAAGTGCCCATTTAAAATTTTTTGAATATTTTAAGAATAAATTTTAAAGGAAGAATGGGTATATATTGGCAGCTCTCTCATTGGTTACAAGTATGAGAAATGGAAACATTTTTGTTTTTTAACTTGAACCTGAATATTTTGGTAACAATAAGCCATCAGAGAATGGAAAACCAACATTTAAGCTCTGGTAACTGTTCACTAAGAGTGAATGGCTATCATATGATATACATAGATGAGTGGCATGATGACTTTTGATTGCATCAGTGAGCAAATTATAAATGTGTGTACAGCCACTTTTTTTTTTTTTTTCCTTTTGGTACTGGGGATTGAACCCAGGAGCACTTAACCATTGAGTCACATCCCTAAACCCTAAACCTTTTTTTTTCTTTTTGAGACAAGGTCTCAGAAAGTTGATTAGGGCCTCACTAAGTTGCTCAAGCTGGCTTTGAACTTGCAAAGTTCCTACGTCAGCTTCCCAAGCTGTTGGGATCACAGGCACTGTAAGGGTAAAAGAAATTGAAGTTAAAGCGTAAAAGTTAAAGGGTAAAAGACCGGGTGTTGTAAAAGTTTCTAAGCTGCAAGGTCTGAGTTAAAATGTAAAGGAGGTATTGTTAGGTTTCTATGCTACCTGGAAAACCTGAAATTTCTGTAGCTGTTAAGACAATGCTTAGAACCGCCCAGTAAACATTTCCCCTGGCTGTTTGGTTGTTTAATAATTCAGGACTCTGTGTAACTGGTCACGTAGTCCTTTAGGCCCTAAAACCAATCAGTTTAAATGTGTACCCCGTTTAGAAATGACCTATCACTCCAGCCTGACCTGTTCCCGCCAATGAATGAACTAATCATGTTTAGGAGTTGTTGTTCAATTTTCCCGCGCCTCATGATGATTTGTTCTGATGTATACAAAGCCCTCCGCCCTCCCCAAAAAGTGTACTTAAGCAGTGCTCAGCCCCTGCTCGGGGCTCTGGGCTGCTTTCCCTTCTTGAGTGGGCACGGAGCCCCAGCATGCTGGTTCAATAAATCCCCTTCTGCCAATTGCATGAGTGGTCACTTGGTGGTCTCTCTCTCCGACGTTTCGCGGGACCCTTACAGCACACACCACCTGCCCATTCACTTTTTAAATGAGGTAAATCTGGGTGGTTTAAAACATAATTCCATGGTAATCTTGCTTAGTGAGGAGTCGGAGGGCAGGTAAGTTGTAGCCCATTATTAGCCTGGTTCTTTTTATCACTATATAAATAACCTATGTGTTTGTGAACATGTATAAATAGGTGTTTCTCTATAGGCTTATGAAAAAGCTGGGAAGGACATACACCCCTCAGTAGAGGTAGAGATGGACGTGCAAGGGAAAAGACCAAAACACTGTCGCATGACCCTTGAAAGAGCAGTGGTGGCTGAGATAGAGGAGCACACAAGGTAGGAAAGTGGTGAGCCGTGGCATGGGTTACTCTGGATAGGTTTGGTCAGGAAGGAAGAGGGAGATGGAAATTCAGCTTGAGGAGCAGACAAGGTGATGCAAAAGCTTCTTTTTCTTATATAGATTAGGAGAAATGTGAGTCTGTATGCCAGGGAAAGAGAAAATACAAAAACAGTGGTAACTGAAGGAGCATGGTAGTGTTGGAGGCGGTAAGGAATGGAATCAAGACTGGGCGATCCTTCTTTTCTCTGGGTTGTAGAGGTATTTCTAACAGGTTCTTCATAGATACTTAGGCAATAAGTCTGATAAAACACTGGTGCAGACTTTGAGGTGGAGCTTTTTGGTGAGGTTTGAGGGAAGCAAGTAGAAGCAAGGAATTTGCTAGTTTCCCCTTCTAATCTAACAAAATGGCTTCAAGAACAAAGCGGTGAACAACACTTAATGGCGAATTCCTGGACTGAAGAGGGTGTTTTAAGAGCTCCAGGGGAATGGCCTCTTTGGAGACAGGCCACATACAAACTGAAGGGAATGCAAATGGGTGGTGTTAGGTGTGGAAGGAAGTAGGAAACAGGTACTCTGGAGTTGATTGTGGGTGGGTAGGGAGACATTAAGGAAGACATGGGAAGGGAAAGATATGAAAAATTCATTTAAGGAGAGGAAAAAAGAAGGCATAATTCCAGAGCCCATCTTAGGTATTACTAATTTGTGATGAAGTGGGTTGGGATCTCCCAAGTGTTTAGATACCCAGAAGAGGAGAACAAATGCAGTGGGTTAGGATTAGGATTAGAGGACTTCAGGCATGAGTGACATTTACAGGGCTGACAAGATTTCCTGAGCTGAGCCAGAAAGCACGAGAGAAGCTGACAGCCAGAGAACAGAAAGTACTGATTGTCATGAAAAGAGTTTTAAAAAAATAATAAGAGCAGATACCCTAGGAGGAAAAGGAAAGGAGGGCAGTGAACGAGTAAGTTGGTCAGAGTGGGAGGTCCTTGCAGATCAGTTGCCAGCTCTGAGAGCCAAGGTGATGGGTGTATGCTATGAGGGGGCTCTGCAGGTCCTGTTTCTCTTTGCCTCTCCAGGGCTTAGCCGCGTGCCTGGTGCATAATAGACATGACAAACATTTAAATGAAATGGGGTAGAATGGAGTTAAGTGAAGGTCTTGATCTTGCAACATTTGAGTGTCTGGTCAGGGTGTTGGACAGCATCATCCTCATCATAAAAGTCCCTAAGGGAAATCACAGGAGAACTGGGTTAAAAGAGTCCCATATTGAAGTTATCAAAAATGGTGGGGAAATATCTGGTTTTAGTTTACATTAACTTGTGAGTATAGAGAAAATGATAAAAGCAAATGCTGTGGCCAGTTTGGGTGAGCCCATTTCCCTGCCACAGAGCATACAGGAAACATGCTAAATCTATAGGTTTTCTCCTTCTTCTGGGGATGATGCCTGGGAAACAGTATTTCTAACAGGTTCTTCATAGATACTTAGGCAATAAGTCTGATAAAACACTGGTGCAGACTTTGAGGTGGAGCTTTTTGGTGAGGTTTGAGGGAAGCAAATAGAAGCAAGGAATTTGCTAGTTTCCCCTTCTAATCTAACAAAATGGCTTCAAGAACAAAGAGGTGAACAATACTTAATGGCGAATTCCTGGACTGTTTTTAATGACTGTTTCCAAAATGCTCACAGGGATTCCTTCCATAGTTATCCATAGACTCAGGATTCAGTTTGCTCTTTTATTGAAGAGTCAGGTTTAGGGTTAGTTTAGGGTCCATTGCCATTCCATATATGGAAATGGCATAGAATGGCTGCTATGTTTGAATGCATAGAAAGGGATTAGATAAAATGTATATACACATGTAAGTGGTATGTATATTTTAAGACTGCAACAGCCTTTTTGTAAGGCATTTTCTTGCCCACAGTAAAATCATCTTTACAATGCCCTTTCACTTTTGGACAGTTCAGAATACTGTTATCTTAACATCAGAATCACACCAACCTAAAGTGTGGATTTATTTCTGCACCTACAGGCATATGGGGCTTTGGACTTTTGATGGTATTCTGAAAGGATGTGTTGGTCCTACAGCCAGATGAGAGAATGGCAGGCCAGTTTGCAGGCTTTGGAAATCTTACAAGAGGTCACAGGAAAAGTGGTATGAGAGAAGGAGTGGAATTATCATGAAGCAGCAAGAGACAGAACACTTTGAGAACAGGCGCAGGGTCTTAGAATCGGCAGAGATGAGATGCGTCAGTGTAGCTGGGTGAAAGCAGGGGGCACAGGGGAGGCCAGCCTGGGAGGGAGAGCTGGGCAGGGACTTGCAGAGAGATGGGCAGTTGGCAGGTGGCTAGAAGGAACACCGATTTGAGCAGATGATTCAGTTATGTTGGCATCCTATGAGACATGATTCATTTGCTTTGATGCTGTGCCTCTGTGGCTAAAGAGCCCTCCTTTCTTCCCATCTCAGAGGTGAAGGCCTTGTGTTCCAGCTCATTAGCCCAGCCAGCCACTTCAGGATGGTTCCTCTTATTCTGCATTTACTTGAACCCATTCACACAGCTCCATCAGTGGCTGCCAACACGAAATAACTTCAAACAAAACTGTCTACTCTGCAGAGCAGGCACCGTGATTCCTAAACTGCCACATTTACTTTTTTTACCTTTCTCTCCAAAGTCAGAAACAGATGCTTTTTAGTCATACTATTCACTGACAGGATGCAGAGGATGACCAGCCTTGGAGCACTTATCACAGTCCTACACCCCCTCCCCCAAATCCATGGTGCTTCCCCTCCCGATTATCTCCAAGGATTTTGTGGCTACTTTCTGCCGCAGAACTGCTGCCATCAAAAGCTGTAGATTCAGTTTAGCTCCAGGTCATAGAAAGCGTGAAGGCTCACAGGGGAGGTCAGCAAGAAGTTTCTGAGCTAAGGCACTTTCCAAGTGTCAGGGTAAAGACGCCATGTTTGCCTGAAGGGAAAACGATTTGCAGCTTTTCTGTCTGGAAGAAGCCATTATCGGCTTTTCGTGGCTTATCATTTATTCTATGGCTTATCGCTTGAATACCATTTAATGTTCCCTTCCTTATCCTTTTTCTCTTAATCCTTTATTCAAAAGTAATGAATATGGAGATGTTGACTGAACTTGCCCAAGGTGGCCCAGATTCGGGAAGGTTTGAGGAGCCTTCACTGTCAATACTGGAGAAAATATCTTTGTTTACCCAGGAATAATAGGATTTCTATGGTGTTCTTCACCAGCTTAAGTTAATGTCTTCTCGTTGCTAACATTTGTTTAGTAGTCAAGCATAGAAAAATGAAGATGTATTAAGTGTCTTCACTTTTTAGGGGAGGAAGCCAAATGTGAAATTTGTTTTCAAGAAGTCTCCCTAGATTAAGTTGCTTAAAAAGATGGCAGAATCTTAACTTTTCCAATGCCAAGAAGGATACTGAGCAGAGAATTGAATGCCTATTCTCTCACGTGCCCTGTGAAGGCCCTAAGAGGTGGACCTGATGGCCTCATTTTGGGGATGAAGAACTGAGGCTGAGGGAGGATCAATGACTTGTGTCTAACTAGATAGCTATGGAATAAGAATTCAAATCCAGTCTCCCTATTTTCAGACCCATGCTCTTTAAACTATCCCCATAAAATTGAAAGATGCCTCACTATCAAATAGCCCTCTAATGGTGCTAGATTTTCACTGTGCTTCTGTACATGAGGAGAGTACCACCTCTTTTTCCCATTTAAAAGTATGCAAGTATTTACTAAGAGATGCTAAATGTAAGTATTCTGCTTTCTTTTATTCTAGATTTTCTACCCTAGCAAGGATGGTACAAAGATTCCAATGTTCATTGTGCATAAAAAAGGCATAAAATTAGACGGCTCTCATCCTGCTTTCTTATATGGCTACGGTGGCTTCAACATATCTATTACACCCAACTACAGGTAAGTATGGGACACTCTTGAACTTGACATGTGTTTGATCTTTACATAGTGGAAAGGAACCAGAGACTGGTCTACTAAATCATCTCTAATATACTCAATTACATATTTCTTGATTGTTTTCTTACAAGGAAGGAATGCATTTGATAACTATTTGAATTTTTGCTCAGGAATTACAGGAAATGTGATGACAAGCTAATCTTGTTTTTAAAAAAAAAAAAAATGTTCTCAGTGTAAAGTTGAGCACTAGATTTAGAGGCTTTAGCCTGTCTACAAAAGATTAGTATCAATTGAGGTCTTGAAAAAAGGAAGCACCTATCTTCACTGTCGTTTATTACCAAATCAGCCTTTACCCCAGAATTCTCTTCAGTGGGCATGTTTTAGATGTTTTTTTTTTTTTAAACCAGCAGAGACTTAAAATACAATGTCTTAACATTCAGCCATAAATATTTTCTGAAAAATCTGTTATTCATTTTAAACTGTTATGTGCTTATTGTTTGTGATTATTTCCCAGATAACTTATGTTTGTTTACATATTGCCATTATTTATGTAAACCACTGTCAGTATTTTTGCAAACTTGGTTTTAATATCCCATTCCTTAGTATGGAATTTGCTTTGAGTGTTTTTAATAAAAAGTTTTCTACAAGCAACACCAGCTTTAAACCAACTTCTAAATAGAGCATCACATAAAATCTGATTCACAGATTCACCCAGGATCTTTTTTATTTGAGAAGAGATTCATAGACTGAACATAAATTTGGAATGGGTTCAACAAGCTATCCCAGAGTAGAGTGCAAGAAAGCCACTCATTATTATAGAATGAAATATAAAACATGGTCCCTGCCCTCCTCAAGTGGTTTATAACCAAATTGTGGACTTTTTTGAACATCTGGCTAAAGAGTTTGTTAGGAGCTAATGGAGGTTTTTGTATAAAATGATAGATTTGTGTCCCTGAACTAAAGGGACACTAGGAGAATGTTATTACCGATACTATTAATTCATTCTGACAGCGCCATGTCCCAGGCACGGCGTGAACCCTGGGTGACAGCAGCCCCCAGATGGACTTCCCAGGCAGAGATTTGCGATCTCATTAGTACTCCATATCTATGTGGTAAAACCACATGCCATATTTATTCTGTGATAAAATTATAGGCTTCACCTTTAAGTCAGTGATGCTTGAGCGTAAGGGCAGTGAACACATGCCAGTGAATAATGAGAAACTCGCATCCCAAGCCCCATTCCTGTGGTCCCAATAGGGATCTAGACCACACCGATCACTGAATGGATCTACTGTAGCTAGAAGCACTGACCTTTGTTCATTTGTACTTAAAATCTCTGTGCTGAAAATCAAGTTGAGTCCCAGACCATTTCACCCAGAACCATGTGAATGTAATAGTAATTTCAAAAAGAGCCCATTAGAGATGCATGAAGTGTAGAAGACCAAGTGACTGAAAATGAATTTGGCAGATTGGGGTAGATGTCATCAGGCCAACCATATCCAATTTTAGTTATCTTTCCTCTTCATCATCAACATCGAGGAAATTAACACTAAAGCCACCTAGAGCTTTAGGTTTGCAGAAGCCCTCCTTTTTCCCATTACTGAGAATTATAAAATTCTCAAACAGTTCAAGGCAAAATTAACTAATAGTAAAAGAAACATCACTCAGCCTTTTCACAGTGAAAAGGGAAGAAACAAAATCCAAATTTTCTGAAGAACTTAGAAGCTTTGTGTAACTTTTATTTCTACAAAGTATTCTCTAGCCCTGAGAACTGTTCTTATTTTCCAGTCTGTGAGCTTGTTATCCTCTCTTATTCCCTTTATTGACTAGTTTAACATCCAAAGTTCTTTAGAACTGGAAAACATGGAAAGCGTTAAGGAAAAGAAAAAAATGAGAGCGGGGGCCATTGTCGGTTGCACCCGCAAGCCCCCAACTATTCTTGCCTGAGCTGGCCTTGTTGCAAAGATAAATTCCGTGTAAAATGAGGGCCTCTGATTTTTGCTGTCTGCATAGTGAAGTATTTATTAGTAAGAAAAGTGAAATATAATGAATGTTCAGGTAAACATCTGAGCTTTGCAGGTAAACATTAATACTTTATTGTAATCAAGTAATATAAAAATTGGGCTGGTATTTAGATTCTACTATGCATATAGTGTTTTCAGGGATACATTTGATTTTTTGTGATGAAGAGAGCTCAGCAGTGCTTAGCAGATAGTTGCTGGGAGGTTAACTGTCTTCTCTGTTCCTCAGTGTATCCAGGCTCATTTTCGTGAGGCACATGGGTGGCGTTCTTGCTGTGGCCAACATCAGGGGTGGCGGTGAATATGGAGAGACATGGCATAAAGGTGGGCTGTTTTCTCTGAAACAATCTCAGGTCTGGCACAGTCCAGGCTCAGGATGTGCTGACCTTCTCATTTAAATGGGCTGAGGGGGTGAGGAGCAGAAAAGCATTTTTTTGGTTGAGACAAATGAAAAATAATAATTTTCAAACACATTGCAGGCACTGCCCCCCTTTAAAAATAACCCATTCTGTTCACATTTTACTTTCTTTTGTAGTCTGATAACAAAGCACGTATTTTTCAGAAGTATTCCCCATAAGACCATAATCAAAACTTGAGATTTTTGAGCAATGTACAAGGTGCATTTTTAATTATCAGCATCAAAAGTGACTCTTGAAGCTTTTTGGTATTTTTCCTGGCAGCCTTGCTTGTAAAAATTCAGTATTATTCATCTGTCTCAAAACAGACTTCAAAGCAGGTCATTTGCTCCTAAGAGAGCGGTCTACAGCTCTCCTCCCAGTGTGGTATCCCCTTGTTCCCAACACTACTGGGAGATTCTGGCCTCCTCACATTGCTGCTATGACTATCAAGTGTGGGTTTTAGACACAAGAATATAGTCACTGTTCCTCCTGAAGCACATATTTGAGTTGACTGGCTAGTACTCAGCTTCATACCTCAGAGGGTCACAGTTTCCTTTTTTTCTAAATAATCACCTCTTTTAAAACCCTTTCTCTTCCATTTCTTTGTATGTGGAACATCCCACCACCCTGACCTGGCTTTTCTGTAGATAGAATTGAATTCATAGACCAACCAGTGTCTGATGAGGGCATTTTTCACTTGCCTTGGTCCTATGTCCTTGAGGATGGTATGGGTCAGGACTTCCACTTCTGCCAGCTTCCTAGTTCCCCGCTCTCATTATCAGCTGTCATTTATAACAAGGCCTACTGGGACGAAGGGGGCCACCAGTTCCTAGACGTGAAATCCTGAAAAAACTAAGGTTTTCTCTTTTAAGCCCCTCTGGTCATCAGGGGCCACCGCCATCTGATAAGGAAGATGCCTGGGTCCTGGCTGACTTTTTCCCCTGTTTATTAACTTGAACCAACTGATTTTCCAAAGTCATAGGAGTCAGACAAGTTGGAACTTGACTAAGACTAAAAATAGATTGATTCATAAGCTTTCTCAAAGATGACACAGTAAAAGGACCAGAAATGGACCTTTTCCAGTTACAGCCTCATATATAGAACATTGATAAATGTAAATTCCCTCTGTTCCTTGAGTTTAAAATTTAGTGGTCTTAAATGTATAGCCATGATCCCCAAGTGACATTTTTCCTGGAAACTAAGTAATCCTAGCTGTTCAAATTCACTGATAATTTCTTAAGATTTTAATAACTTTTGTTTTGATATGAAAACATTTCTTCAATAGCACTGCTTCATCTTTAATTGAATTTCTGCAAAAGTGGTTCATTTCAGATCTAATTAGATCTGTGCCTGCTCTTTGTTCATTTCAGAGGCAGTTATTTCAGACATCTGTTCCTTTGAGGACATGCCTTTGGCCTTTACTTGTAGATATTCCAAGACCCCATAGCTGTTTCTCTGGGGTTTTTGTTTGTTTGTTTAATACATTGGAATGGCTTATAGACAGTAAAACCTTGAGGTCTTATTTCATCCATGAATGGAGAAGCCCCCCTGTGCTTTGCTGAAGCACCACGTCACCACCCAATTCCTACTGTTACTGTAAATTAGTAACCCAGGGCAAAATCGGATCATGTACCCACTACAGACTCCTGCAGGGAGCTGGGTGGAACTTGGGGGGCTGAGCTCCATAATAGAGGCCTTGTTTCATTTTACCTTCAGCTTCTCCAAAATAGAGATTCTTTCTGATGCCATGCTTCTCTCACAAAACAGATCTATCCTCTTTGGGGCACTTGCCTTTTAAGTTCTAAGGGTTTTAATAAAATCCAAATTCACCATATGTGTGAATTTGGGCCTGCAAGTCCAGGGGTATTCATTGTAGATTTCCACAGCACATAAAACTTCAATTGAGGCATTTATTTAAATGTTGTTTTAGCCACCATTGTTTAGATTGATCCATAGTTGAAACTGTGCCGTTTTGTTATTTGAACTCCATTTAAGTTAAACCGATTTTTGTGTGTGTTTTGTTAATTAACTACCTTTCACTTTGGCACATCATAGGTGGTATCCTGGCCAACAAACAAAACTGCTTTGATGACTTTCAGTGTGCTGCCGAGTATCTGATCAAGGAAGGCTACACGTCTCCCAAAAGGCTGACCATTAACGGAGGTTCAAATGGAGGCCTCTTAGTGGGTAAGAACTGAATTTTACTCTTTGTACCTACCAAGTGACCCATATGGGGTCTCCAGATAGAATTGCCTGTGAAAAGATTGCCTGATTTATACTGGTACAAAGAAAGCAAAACCATTTGTATTGGGGCACCTAATAAATAAGAGACATACTCATGACAGCAGGAAACGAGACCCCGTGCCCTCCTCTGAGGCCTTCCCCCACTGTGGGATCAAGGGTTCAGCCAGCACAGAGCTGATGAGCCTGATTGTGCTGCTCAGAACTTGTAAGATGTATCCTCCTTGAACATTATTATGCTGTTGGCTGCTGAGAGAGGCCATGAAAGAAGATGGGGTATTTAGAATAGAGCCATAGCCTTATAGGAATGAAATAGTTAATTCTAGTCATTCTTAGGAGCGGCTCCCACTTGTTGAGTACCTATGTCCAAGCCCTTGATATGCACAGTTATTGTCCAGGGAGGCACTGAGTGGTTGAAAAGCTCATCGGTGTCACACAACTGAAAGCTGGGGTTAAACCTAGTACTGTGATTCTGAGTTCTGCTCTTCTATGTGGCACTACCTGTATGCAGCTTTTTCTGATTTTATTTTTTTCCTTAGTAGCATTCAATACTGTCATGAATGTATGCGGTAGGCCTGGACTGTGCCCTGCACCCCTTGGCATTTAGGATGTGAAGTGTCATACGTGTGTAGAAGAGCACATCGACACTTAAATATATGTGACAAGTCCACTTTGGGGAGGGGGTGGTCAGGGGACAGAGCATTCATTTGTCCATGTCTTTGCAAGATGCTGTCATTTAAAAAAAAAAAAAAAATCATTTCCAGGCTGGGATGTAGCTCAGTGGTAGAGCACTTGCCTAGCACGTACGAGGCTCTGGGTTTTATACCAATCTTCCAAAGACAAATTCCCATGAAGGTCCAAAATAATTTGTTTTAATTTGGAAGGGATATTGACAATCATTTGGTTCTTCATCAAATATTTATTGGACACTGAGAAGTGCCAGGCATTTTTTCAGATACTGGGCCTATGTAGAGCATCTCTACCTTCATGGGGCTTTCATCCTAGAGGCAGAGGATAAACCAAGGGCATCGGGGTTTCTAAGGGGAGGGGTGGGAATTCAGTGTTGAAATCAAAAGGTGTGTGGGAACTGTTTTATTGCCAGACACAGGAGAAATCCAAATTCCTTAACTTATTCCTAGTCTTGCCAGCTTTGATGTTACCCCTCCCTGACTGCCTCACACTGAGTTAGGTCCCCTCATACCACACTTTCCCAGCAGTAGTGATTGCTGTACTTCAATTGTAGTGGCTCATTCACTTCTTGATCTTCCCCACTAGATTTATTCACTGAAACAGGTACAGGCCTAGTGCCCCACATGGTAAATATTCAATATATATCTGTTTAATATTGTTTTAAAGTTTGAAAAACAGGAGATGATGAGCCAACATTGGTTAGAGCCTTAAGCTGTGTTTCAGACCCTGTTTTGCCTCAAGCTAGTCCTAAGATCTTAACTACCCCCACCAGCTATGAACGCACATGGGTGGAGAGAAGGGGACATAGGTTCCTCATAAAGTCCTGAATCTTTTCTGGTAACACCCCCACCTCATTGAGATTAACTTTGGGGGACAAATCGTGTTAGTGTTGCTTTGTATATTTAGATGTTTCTTTCTTGGTTTTCAGCTGCTTGTGCAAATCAGCGTCCTGACCTCTTTGGTTGTGTTATTGCCCAAGTTGGAGTAATGGACATGCTGAAGTTCCATAAATATACCATCGGTCATGCCTGGACCACCGACTATGGGTGCTCAGACAGCAAACAACACTTTGAATGGCTCGTTAAGTATGTTTTGATTGACATATGCTATTAATGATTTGATATCTTAAGTATCTGATGCTTTGTCTCCTTGGTGTGTTTTATTTGCATATAATTTTACTACAAGAACAGAAGAGGTGGGAATACCTTCCACCTTGTTTTAATATGGTCTTTAACAAAAACAAACTTTAAAGGTGTGATAGGCAATATTGCAAAGATGGCCCTCCAGGATTCCTGTCCTTGGTTATTCAGTTAAAAACTATTGTATAGGTACTTTGCAGATAGAACAACAGCCATCACGTAAAGGTAACTTTAGTTCTACAACTGCATAGGACAATTCTGCCAACAAACTGAGCCTGAAAGTAAATTTTTTTTTCCAGTTTGCCATTAAGAGCCCACTAATGTCCTTAAGAGACCCAGAGAATCCAACTGAGCCAACTCACAGAATTGTGAGATCAGAAGTCTGTTTTAAGCTGCTAAGTTGGTGGATAATAATTTGTTACTGCAGTAATCAGAAACTAATACAAAAAGGTATCATACATTGTATCAGTATGTGGAATTTCCTTTTCTAAATCAAGAAATAAGGACATAAAAGAACACATGCAAACATAATTAAACTCCCTTTGTGCTCAGTGTAACTACATATTTGAAACTACAAGTTTCATTACTCTAATATTGTACAACTTACCTCATTCATAGCCCTCAACCACTTTGGTGGTAACAATGAGAAAATAACAGAATTTGGGGATTATTTATCAGCATCCTTTAGGAACAGTCCTTGGACTGGCACAAGAGGCCTGTTTTCCCATCCCAACATTCTCAAAATAACTTGGTCATTTTTAATTTGTTTTTTATGACTCTCATAATTAAAATGACTGAATTTTTTAATTGAGTACTTTGAAACTATTGCATTCTGTTCTCTAAGGGGGAAAAAAAGTTCACTGTGAAAGCTGTTACTTTAAAATACTCAAATGGCAACATGCACCCAGGGAAATAAATCCTGTGTAAACTCATTTGAAAAAAGTTTGCATTTTTTCTTCTGTGATATTCCTACCTCAGATTTCAATTTACTAACTCTGATCTCGCAGGGCTTTATTTTCCTTTTACCTTCTGTTACTAAATGAGCTTAGATCTCATTTACCTACAGCTAAATTAGCTAGAAAGGACCATATGGGAACTCTGGAGTGCATCCCTTGGAGCCCCATCTAGAATATTAAAAGGTGTTTTCTCCCAAAAGAGCTGGACCTCTGAGTCTGGGAATGTCTAGGGTAAATAAAGCCTAATAAACAGGCTGTTCTTTCTACAGACCATCTCCTGAAAATTTTGAAACCACTCTGTAGTTTCAAAACTTACCACATCTGTGATGTTGTCTGTGAATCTCAAAGTGGGGAGTATTTTTAATAGGCACTGAGTTTTCCACATTTGTTCCCCATAGAATAAACCCTTATGTGGAGGAGGGGTTTGGTTGGGAAGCAGATCCCCCATGTTAGGTATTGGGAAAACAAACTCCCCGTGTTTTAGCTTTGACTTGGTGAGCTAAGAAAATTTTATACTCTTTTTACTACACTTCAAAATAAAACTCTGCTGAAACAGTTGATTAAAATCATTAATACTGAATACATTGAAAAATATAACATTGGATAAAATGTACAGATATTTCTTGAGCCTTAATCATTATCAATCACTGTCTAATTTACTGTTTTTATTCTTGAAACTGTCTTTGTTAACTTACCTTGGAAACTTTTCTCGTATTTCAAAGGGTTCCTCTTCCACTAAATTTCTCTCCATTGGCCAAAGGCAGTTTCTTTTCTGCTGAACTGTGAGAGCCAGCAAGAGGCTCAGGAGCTCACCTGGGCTTCCTTGGTTTGTAGACAAGAAAGACACATGCTCTTCCTGAGGTTGCAAAGCTAAGCCTGAAATAAAGGCTTTATAGGGATAAGAGAAAGAAAGCCACTGTACACTGGCTTTGAAGTTCAACAAAAGATTAATAGCTAAATAGTCACACTCTGTAGTTTCAAAAAAACAAGTCATTAGTCCAACTACGTAGCAGTGAAAAAGTCTAAAGAATACCAAAAGATACAGCTCTAAACACCGAGTGTGCATATAGTTTGGCTTATTTCAACAGCCCTGCGAGTTTCTTTCTTACATAATATTTCAAAGTTAAAGCTACATACATGACATAGCTCCTGTTTTCAGTAGCCCTTCCTGGTCATGGCCTAAATGATGAGCAAGCAAACTGCCATGCCACTCACATATTAGGCAACAGAAATCCTCCTTGCTAGTAAAGTTAAACTGGTATATTAGCTTTCTGTCATTGTGACCAAAATACCCAGCAAATACAGAAGGACAGGTTTATTTTGGCTCATGGTTTCCAAGGTTTAAGTCCATAGTTGGCTGACTCCAGGATAGAAACATCATGGTAGCAGGGTGAGGCAGAGGATAGCGGCTCAGCTTGTGGCAGCAGAGAAGCAAAGAGGAAGGGGTCAGGGACAAGACATTGTACCGAAGGACCTACTTCCTTCAGCCACGCTCCTCCATCCTACTGTTTCCATCTCCTCCCAGTAGCCCCATTCAAGTTATTAACTCATCAAATGCATTAATCCAGTGAGAAAGTCAGAGCCCTTGTGATCTAATCACTCCCCCAAAGTCTCTCTGGACATTGCTGCATTGGCAACCAAGTCTTTGACACACGAGCTTTTGGGGGACATACCAAACTAATGGCTGGTATACCACACAGATCCCTGTGCCACACTGGTCTTTCCTGATCATCCTCTTGATGAACTCTGCTTGTGACAAAATCTCACACAAGTGCCTTTGCCTTTCAGATACTCCCCACTGCACAACGTGAGGCTGCCCGAGGCGGATGGCGTCCAGTACCCGTCCATGCTTCTCCTCACTGCTGACCACGATGACCGGGTGGTCCCGCTCCACTCCCTGAAGTTCATTGCCACCCTACAGTATGTGGTGGGCCGCAGCCGGAAGCAGAGTAACCCCCTGCTCATCCACGTGGACACCAAGGCTGGCCACGGGGCGGGGAAGCCCACAGCCAAAGTGATAGAAGAAGTCTCAGATATGTTTGCGTTCATAGCACGATGCCTGAACATTGACTGGATTCAGTAAACGGGATTTCCTGCTCCTCCGACAGCCACAGAAAACCTCAAGGGCTTTCACACCGTTCCAACCGAGAAACCACTGGGCACAACGCTCCCCACATGGGCACTGTTCCTGCACACAGACTACAGTTGAACAGAACTACTGTGGGAATTTTATCTTTTTTAGGCTTCTCCTTTTTAGCAAGCCCTTGGTGTTTCTTTTCCCACCCTATCCAGGCACATATTTTAAAAAGAATTTTAAAAGGCATGTTTGGATAAATAGCTCAATGTCAGCAAACGTGTGAATACTAGATTGCTGAATTAAGGGTCATAGCCAGGCATCCTCATACATAACTCAGTGAACTTTGCTTCTATAACCGTAACCTATATATTCCTTAAATAAATGTGAGAACTCTTCTCATGAAAGACTTCATTGCAATACTAATAAATGCTATTTAAGAATAGGAGGCTTTATTTTTGGTTCCTTTGCATTGAAGGGCATCACTTGAAATGCAGTTGACCATGGGGATAAAGCATTTCATCTTTGTGCAACTCATTAGTTTCCAAACCCTTGAATCATAGAATGTAAGCACTGAAAAGAAGTTGAGCTTGTCCATTCCCACTCCCCAGTCTCTAGTGAAGCTGTTAGAGGCAGCTCACTGTCTTAAACATTAGCACTCAGATCAGGGTGATGATACTGATCTGGGACTCTTTTGATTTGGCTGCCTCCTTTTAAAAATCTGTGAGGTGGAAAATTCAAATTACTCACCTATCTGACCACATATTGATTTGGTTACAGAATGTTCCTGGAAATCAGAATGCCTCAGATATGAAACTAAGAGGCCCCCTGTGTAAATTATCCAAAGATGAACTCAACCAAATTTACAGTCAGAATTTTTAGCCTTTCCCAAGCTGTTTCACCTCCATAAACCTCTTCTTGAAAATTAAAATAGTCATTATTTAAAAACAAACATGCAAAATTAAGAAGAAACAGTTTGGGTTCATCCCACTCCCCAAGAATCTTTTAAGGTGAGGATATGCCATCCCTCAAACTTTCACTTGTGATATTAAAACAAAAAATTACATCAAATAATGTTACTTTGCCAGGCACTGTGGTGCATACCTATGATCCCAACAGCTTGGGAGGCTGAGGCAGGAAGATCGCAAATTCAAAGCCAGCCTTAGCAATAGCAAGGCACTATGCGACTCAGACCCTATCTCTAAAATAAAATAAAATAGAGCTGGGGGCTCAGTAGTTTAGTGTCCCCGAGTTTAATCCCCGGTACTCCCCACCCCAAAATAATAATGTTACTTTGAGTGTCAGTTTGTGAAATGCTGATCTAATTTATAAGAAAACAGTTTGTCTTGCTTTATCAGATATGATGAAAGTAATTATTTTACATGAAGTATCTTAACTGTATATAAAATTGCAAGTAAGTCCTATCTTCCAAATCTCATACAAACATAATTTAAGTGCTCTACTTTTCAAGTCATGGTCAAAAAATCTACCTATTACTCCATACCAAGTGTAACTGAAAGGTAACCATAACTTGGTTTCTCTCTTCTAGAATCATGCTGGTTTCTCTCTTCTAGAATCATGCTGTTACTGTTTGAGTATATGCATAAAGCAGCTGTCATTGAACATCTGATTCATTATAACCTCAGGAGAAAAGCTATGCCTCTAGTGCAGAGCATGTAGAGACTGACAACAGTCTATCAGAGAGATGCTCGCACTAGCCAACTACAAAGAAACCTCTAGTGCAGCAGAAAAAAAGCAATAAAATACTCTTGCCCAAGGCAGCCCTTTCCTGAACTGGGTGAGTCACTTGAGGTGCAGCTACCAGCTGACATGCTGGGGAGCATTTTCTAGCTTGTGCAGGATCCAACAATCCTTTCCCACTGAGTTCTCCTACTTACAAGTAGAAAGTAGAAGTTTGGTGTGGAAGGTCTGAGCTTCAGAGTCAGGCCTGGGCTCAAATCCCAACTCTTTCATTTGGTAACTGGCAATGAAGTAGAATAAAGAAAGTAATGTGTTGATGAGTGCCTAGCATACGATTGCTTCCAATTACAAGATCTCTTTTCCAGCCTAATTTTTCAATCTCAATTTTAACTCAGTAACTCCTCCCATAAACTAAAAGGTGTCTTTTAAGCTTTAAACATTGGAAGTAAGATTTGAGATTGGACTCTTTTCCAGAACTCTGTCTTACATTGGTCTGCGGTGTTGGGGGGCGGGGGGAGTTCTACCCTTGCACACGTGGTCTAACAGCCCTGTCAATGGGCCTAGCTGAATGCCACAGAGCATTTGTTACCTTGGGATAGTCATATTTGTGCTGTTAAATGTATCCATACTTGGAATATTATAAAACTCTAATTAATCATGTTTCTTAATACTCCTACGGAACTTAGGCAACTATGCACAGATGGTGCTACTAGTTAGAAAAGGTTAAATTTCAGCTAAGGAAGCCTGTCACCAATCTGTCCATGGTCAACAGCCTTAGCAGCTCCCCCATGGCAGGCCACACAGCTAATGCCCAGAAAGACTTGCAAAGACTCAAAGGTGGTTAAGGACAGGCTGGGTAGCTATGAGGGGACAGGAAGGGGTAAAAGTCAGAGGGTTAAGTGTGGTCAGGCCAGTGGAAAGAGGACTAAGGCTGATGGATGAGGAGTATTTAGGTACACTCTGCATCCTTTCATCCTCCAGGGACTGGAGGTACAAAGAAAGTCCTGCCCTCATAAGTGACTTTCCAGGGGAGGAAACAGGTGATAAATGTTTTTACTGAGCATTTACCCTTTGCCACTCTGTTCTGTGCACCGTGTGCGTGTCCTCACGCAACTTTAGCAATCATATACTAACCTGAATCCATTTGGCAAAGGCCCAGTGTTACCCAGATGAAGTGGACAAGAAGGACAGTAACCCTGGCAGTTGGACCCTGAGACTGTTATGGTCTAGATGTTTGTTTACCTCTAAAATCTCTATATTGAAATCCTAATAGGAAGTGGAGTCTTTAGGAGATGATCAGGCCATGAGGGCTCTGCTCCTATAAAAGAAGTCAGAGAGACCACCTCATCCCTCATACCATGTGAAGGCACAGCAAGAAAGTTGTCATCTATGAACCAAATCTGTCAGTGCCTTGATCTTGGACTTCCTAGCCTCCAGAATTCTCATAAATAAATTTTTTATTTATAAGCTACCCAGTTTATGGTATTTTGTTATAGCAGCCCAAAAACAACACACATTTTTCCACTTAGTCCACTATAAAATAAACAGAAAACAGAATTTTAGAAATCAAGAGCTATGAAGAAACAAACCAGGACAAGCGAATAGTCCATGAGAAAGTATGCTATTTTAGCCAAAGAAGTCAGGCCTCCTCCAGGAAGCAACATGTAAACAAAGACCTAAACAAAAATGACAAGATAGTGGGCAAAGGTGTGGGGTACAGGATGGGGGCCAGGAACATCAGGCAGAGCCTGAGGTGGGAACTAGCCAGGTGAAAGAAGCCAGACACAAATGACCATGTAAAGTATGATTCTATTTTAGGTGAAATGTCCAGAAACTTCTATGAGGACAAATTGTAGATTATTGGGTAGGTGGTGTTGGGAATGAAACTGGAGATTCACTAAGCATACAAAGAATCTTCCTCCCATAGTGAAAATATTTGAAAACTACATTAAGGTGATGGTTGTACAACTTGGTATATTTACTCTCAAAAAGTCAATGAATTTTATCCTTTAAGGGAGGTGAATTTTATGGTATGTAAATTATATTTCAATAAGTTTGTCGTAATAAACTCTTGTAGTAAGAGAGAAAGGAGCAATAAGTCCCTGGATGAGTGCCACCCAGGAATAGCCACCTGCAGAAGTGTGATGGAGTGGAAGAGGCAGGTGACAGGGCAAAGGAGATAAAAGCTTGCATATCAGCTTGGGTCAGAGGACAAGACTATTTTAAGCTGCAGAATTTATGCAGGAGTTCACATCTCAGGGGAAGCTGACCCTCCCCCTCGACCAAATTCATTCCTTAGATCAAGTCAGACCTGCTGATTCCTGTCCTGCACCCACCTCTCTGGCTTTAATATGCTAAGGAATGCAGGGCTTCCTGTCAACTGGATCCTGCAACCCAGAGGGGCAGGAGAGGCGAGGGCTAGCAGGCTCCATTAACAATGGTAAATGACAAAGAAGGCTCTTCTTTTATTACACGTACTAAGCAAGAGAAAATCTCCTGGTGGCCATTTGTGGAAGTCATCATGCCAAATAACCCTAGGAATTATAAACATATGACTTGGAAAGTGAGTCCTATATAGTTGACAATGAAAATATGCTGTCTTCTAGTTCCACTGAAGGCTTTGGCAAATATCAAAGAAAAGAGCTTCTAGCCACTCTGAGAACATAGTCAAACTGAGGTTAACCAGAAAACAAGGTCAGCATCAAACATAACCCTAAATTCCAGAGAAAATGATGGAAGTTCACACAAGTAAGGCCTTGTTACTTCTCCCATGACATTTGGGTATTATTAGAGCAGTAATTGGCAATTTTCCACAGGATCCCAGCCCTGCAACTCTCCCAGAAGTGCAGAACTAGAACATGTGGGACCCCCCCTAGCTCTGTCACTACTCAGGTCTACCTCAGAGTATAAAACTCCCTAATTTATCCAAGAGTTGCTAAATGCAGTGTCTTGAGATGAAGATAACTGGGAGGGGCTTCATCATTTGCTAACAACTACAGGTTGGAACTGATTTTGCTATTCCCAAATGAAGAGCTGTGAAGGATGATGGCCCTTGGGTAAAGTGGGTTTAAGGTTTACTCACTAAGGGAGAGAGTACTCAGAGTAGGGAGGGAGGTATAATGAAGGTATGATTCCAAAATGGACATTAGAGGGTAGATATTGCAAGAAAGTTTGCCTACCTGTTACTCCTGCTCTTGGTGTCTCAGCCCATGAGTGCTTTTGTGTGGCCTTACCTGTCACTCAGGGGTTCTACCCTCAGTGATCCCACAATCTCAAGAACCCCAGCTAAGAGCTCGGATAGAAGTAACGGAGAAAGATTTTGCAGCTTGAACCACTCTTAACTGATGGATTAACAAAATGGTTAGGCACACAGAACCAGAACTAATTCCCATACACATTGGCCAAGGTACCTATACATTGTTTTAAGCACCTGCATTTTGTCTGAGAAGCTGCATATCTTTAGTAAAAAAAAAAAAAAATATATATATATATATATATATATATATATATATATATATCTTTTACTAATATTTTTAAATTGTTGTGAAATGAATGTTACTTATAATTTGAACTTTGTGATTAAGAAAACTTGCTTTAAAAGTGCAGAGTGTCCATATGCGCTTCATCCAGATTTCCCTAATGTTGACATCACCCACAACCTTAAGCATTGTATAATTCTCAAACCCAGAAACTACCACTGATATGACACTATTAACTAATTTCCACACCTTAAATTCTGTTC